CATGGCCGCTGCAGCACAGACTCAGCCTTGGTACATGGGGTGCCACAACACCATGTTTGACAAAAAAAAACAGAAGCTCGATGCTTACTCTAACTTTAACATGATCAAATCAGAGACCCCAACGAAACTCTGAACCACAGTGTGTGTGAGAGACAGACCAGAAACCTGTTGACCTGCTGCTGTGCTCCTGAAGGACCAGAAGGTGGCAGTATTTTACAGGCAATAGTCACAGAAGAGACTACAGACATAAATCAGATTCCACATTCTGTGCTGTTAATGGGTCAGCCATTGTTCTGTCACTTCCTTCTTGTAGCCTACTTTCTTGTTGAGATTAATTCCAAAGCTAGTTAATTTATAATAATGCAGTACCTGTCAGACTTATGGTTGTGGTTACCTTCTGTTATCCCCGGCAGACATTGCTACTATTATTTTCTGTTCTTGTGTTTTGTTTTGTCTGCCTCTATGTATGTGAAGCGTCCTTGGGTCTCTTGAAAGGCGCAACAAAAATGCAAGTTATTATCATTTTTAATCATTATTATTATTATTATTTTAAAGGACATGGATTGGTATTGTTTCAGTTTTCAGTCTTTTTATGCCAAAGAGAATAAAAAACAATGCATATTTGATTTAGTTATTACTATATTTTTTCCATAAGAATAACACAGCTGTAATTAATCACATTAATTAATAGCTGTGTTCCTTTTCATGCATCATTGGGATACTTAAATGGAACATAGCCATTGTTAACACTATTAGTTCCCACTGATTTTCCTGATATGACAAGTGAAAAACGTCTGCTGTGACAAAGGCCGGGTGACATATTGACACGTTTTGGCCTAAAATCCAGTGTTGATTATTTATAGTTTAACCCTCAGGACAGATGAGCACCAGATCTAACAGCTGAACTCTGTCCAACTTTAATCTTCATGTACATTTAGATATATATTGTTCCTGATTCACTCATAAAGGCCCCTGTGACGATTTGAGTAAAGCTTAAGAAAGCCACTGGATGGCGACAGAGGTCTTTTGAGAGTTCAACCTACAGCCTTCAGTTAGAAAATCCTTTCTATTCAATCAGACTCCATCATTTATTAGATATAGTATAGGCTCCCAGTTGAATGTTGATGACTTTTCATGGATGGCACAAACTAGAGAGTCTAGTTCACCATATATGTGAAATGAATTATCATTTGTTGCTGCTGAGTAAGACATTATTTATGACTCATTTTGTGAGGCTGCCTGCCTCTAAAACTACCTCTAACACTGTGGAAGTGTTCTTGAGGCTTTATTTGTTAGAAAAACCTTCCAATTAGAGCTGCCCTCTGTCTGGCACCCTGTCAGCCACACAGACTCTAAATTAGAGGACGTGTCACAATTCAAGAAAGTCACTTATCTTCTTTCCCCGCAGTCAGACTAGTCAACATCTCTGTTATGCCAAGGAGCTCATTTATATTGCTGGTAAAGCCACAAAAAAATATATATTTAGTTTAGAATTCAGTAAAGGGAAATGTTGAGTTGAAGGTATAAGGAGAAAGAAAAGGCTTCACAGCAAAGCAAATTATAATGAATGTAAAATGTTTCTGTTGTGGGCACTTTCACATTTCAGCACCATGGACAGCGGTCTGAATGCTCATCCTCTATCTCACTGGATTTGAAGTTAACACACTGGATTCGGTAACGTGACTTAAAGTGGACTAAAAGTGACCCAACAGAATCTCCTGTGAATTGCCATTGATTCGTCCCACTGTTGGGAGGGGGGACTGGTGCCTGCATGTTTTCAAGTACCCTCTTGGATGCTGCTATGGTAGCTAAAACATAATAAAGAGTCCTCTATGGAGCCCTTTCAGTGGAGAAAATTTAGTGCAGTGCCATATAGGCTGCCCTAATTGCTGGAAAGAAGTCTGGAACTGTTTCACCATGCCCCACCAAATGCTCAACCAGCCTGCTTCTTCCTTATGACTTATTGTCTATTTATACAAGTTTACAATCTATAGTTGTATATGTTTAAATGTAAAAACTTGGAGTGGAGTGATGTTCTTGGATAAAAAAAAAAAAAGGCGCCAGAGTTGCATGCGTAAAGCGGGTCATAACATGATAAAGCAATCCTATGCGGGGCTCTTACACCCTCAACATTACCACCACACAGCACAGCGTTTGCAGAATAAACGCGATGCTTTAATCGCGGAGCAAACGGGGACCTGCGTAAGATCGTAAATCAGGCCTGAAATGTAACCTGACAAAGTAAAGGTCTCATCCATTGCCAATATGATATTATGATATTGGAAAGCTTTCCCGGAGAGGTTGTGCGTCATGCCACTCTCTATTAGGTGCTATTTTCGTCCTGCCCTGGAAGACATTCATCCACCATCTACCCACCCTGACAGCACCCAATAAACCCACCACTCCCATTCATCTCCACCCCTCCACCCACCTCCACTCTCGTCCCCCCTCCCTTGCTCTTCCCCTCTCTCCCTCTCTCTCTCTCTCTCTCTTTCTTCCGACGAGCATTGCTGATTTAAAAAAACAACATAGGAGAATTGTGTTTCGGCGTCCAAGAGGATTACTTTGTGGGCCCTTCACAGTTTTCCCCTAAAATAACAATCGTCTCTGACACTTTTTAAAGCTTTTGGAGGCCCTGCTCCTCTGTTTAGACCTGGTTCTCCAAAAAGAAAGGTAAGATCATCTCCGTTTCTAATATTCTTTTCTTTTACTAACATGTGTTGGCTGACTCTAACTGCATTTGACCTATAGTGACATATGTTGATTTAGAAAGATATCAATAATGCAATACCGGCCTGCTGGAACCATGGTGTCAGCGCAACGGGGAGCTGAAACCCACAGGTTTGATTCTAGTGATGCAGCACATCGGACAAAAAACCTTTATGCGTCTGTTTTAGGTCTCTTTTGGTTAATGGTCCTGAGTTTTTTTGACGGTGCGTCGCGTTTGGGACTCATTGACGGACTTTTACGCACGATAGCGCTACAGGAAACAAAACCACGTCGGTCAAAATTTTCACATTAGCCTACAGGGCACTTTTTTAAAACGTGCATTGAAAATTAACGTTCATTGCGTGAGTGATCTCGTACAGTAATTAGATATAACGCTGTCTGTAATTGAAGTTAGGCAACAAGGCGCGCGTAAAAGAGCCTCAACTAAAGCTACACTGCAACACTAATAATGTGTGAGCTCCTCTGATCAATAGCATTTTTTTTTCTAGTTTGGCATTTTTACGATTCATATGTTTTGAGTTGATGGCACATGATGGATCGCCGGTTGTTCCTCTTCCTTTGCTGCGTGAGTCAGTTGGACACGGTAAGGAATGGCCGCTCTTCAAAGCTTTTCACCGAACGAGTTCAAACATAATCTTTTCGTCTCAGTGCTAAACAAAGATCAACGGAGCAAAGGTACGAAAGTATGTATGAATTTTAAAAATCAAAAAAGGCTTTCATTACCAGCTTGTCGTTTGTCTAATAATTTATTGTGTTGGGTAAAAGGTAGAAAATTCAAGATCAACGCACAAGATGTAAAAGCAGTTTTGTGTATTTTTTGATTGCCTGTATTGGAGAGACTGAAGTAATTTCAACTCACTGAGTGGAGGCTACTAATAAATGTGACTTAAAATATCGGCGTTCTTCATCTGAAATGTGGTTTTGAAACTATCCTGGTATTGTTTTCTTTAATTTGTAGGGAAATTGGAATTACATTTTCCACTTTTAATTCCACATTGCCACAACTGGACAAACTGAGTACAAATGAAGTCTTCTATATTTTAAGAATGTGTTTGGCTCCAATAAAATGTTTGGATTGTAATGTTGTAAAGTTAATCAGGTTTAGTCATGGCGATGCGCACTGAAGCACTGTAAGTACAGTCTGTATTAGGAAACCTGATTAAAATAATGTGGCACGAATGATGAGGCTTCTGTAAATTTGACTCCACATCAAAGTCAAAGTAAAAATGTATTTCTTCCTCTTTTTTCCTTCTAAGTTCTCTCCATGAAATCCCAGTCCTCCGCGCGCAATAGCACTTGATCTCGGCAGGAGGAAGCGGACGAAAGGAAGATGGCCATCCACGCCGAGGGTCTCGTGGCTATCGTGATCTTCTACCTCCTGATTCTGATTGTGGGGATCTGGGCCGCCTGGAAGAACAAGAACTCCGGTGTTAGCGATGGCGGAGACCGGAGCGAGAGCATCATGGTCGGGGGAAGAGACATCGGATTGTTCGTTGGTGGATTCACGATGACCGGTGAGTCGGTTAACTACAGGGGGATACTTGGAGTCTTTTTTTTTTTTTTTTGCTAGGTGTTCAACAGGACCCGTGTGCGCATTCTGTCACAGGTCAGAAAAAAGACAATAAATCCCACCGACTCAGTCTTTTACGCACGAACAGCACTGCCGCCACACATATAATATACGACCACAACTTTCAATATTACATTTCTGAGCACTTAAAGATGCAATAACTGATGACAGAACATCTTTTAATATGTGCTTTAAAGTCCAAACTATCACCTAAGACAGATGACCCATGAAATATTGGGATTCTTTGATCCTTGTTATTAGAATTAATGTATGCAACATGGCATGCGCCAAACTTGTGTGTTTTCTTGTTTTCAGCTACTTGGGTGGGTGGAGGCTACATTAATGGGACAGCAGAGTACGTCTACCTGCCAGACTATGGCCTGGCTTGGGCACAGGCACCCTTTGGTTACGCTCTCAGCCTGGTAGTAGGTAAGAAACAGTGTCTTTGTATAAGTCCTTTATTTAATTATACTGTAAAAAGCAAGTGTCCAGTAAGTTTTCTGCAAAGAGTTTCAACAGCATTGAGGTACTTCCTTAAAGAGCCACACCAGTAATTTTGCATGTTTTTGGCCATGTATTACAAATTTCTTGAAAATGCTTTTTGACAGCCATTGATTTTCATTCTTTTTACAGCATTATAGATATCTATTACAGTGATCATCATTTGCACTTTTATTTTTGACACTCTACATCAGTGTTGTGTGGTAAAGCAGTGGATATATTTTGAACTGAATCTGCATGTACAGCTGTATTAACCCACAATGATAACATGACTTTGACAATAAGTTGATATTTATTGAATTGGTCTAATCAACTAAAACCAATTTCAAGTATCTGTTTTTTTGAATACTACAGTAAAATACATGTTAACCTGACTTAAAATACGTATTAGCAGTTATGTAACATAGTTTGATGTCTAAGAAATATATCACACAAATAAACAGGAGAAAGGCTAAAGTGAGATGAATTGATTCAGGGATTTTAAAATACACCTACAATGGTCTCTTATGCTATTTTTCTGACAACATTTAGGTGGCCTTTTCTTTGCCAAGCCCATGCGTTCACGTGGATACGTCACCATGCTGGATCCCTTCCAGCAGCTGTATGGAAAAAGGATGGGGGGCTTGCTCTTCATCCCCGCACTCATGGGGGAAATCTTCTGGTCTGCAGCCATTTTATCTGCCCTGGGTAGGTTGTTGTCAGAAATATGCTTATCTAAATGTATTATGAGCGCCACATTTAGTTGTCTCTTACATCCAGGGCACTTTTCGTCTTCACTCTGATAAACAATTGTAACTGAACGTGTTGTACTGTAGGTGCCACTCTGAGCGTGATTGTGGACATAAACATCAACATGTCGGTGGTGATCTCAGCCCTGATAGCTATCTTCTACACGCTAGTTGGAGGACTCTACTCTGTCGCATACACAGATGTGGTCCAGCTCTTCTGTATCTTTTTGGGCTTGGTGAGTTTTACTGTAAACATCTACAGGGATAATAGCGGTGACAATGAATTCCAGCACTGGATTGACTTCAATATGATTAAAAATGGTGTTACCAATATAGACTGAAAGCTAAAGCCAAAACCAGAATATTTTATACTAGTCTTTGAGGTGTTTTTGACCGGCTTTATGCCAAACACTATTAAAAGATACCAAACATCAATTTATACATGTGCAATCTGATCAAAACACATTGAACTGATGCATTTATTATGCAAAAAAGCATAATATTTTTCATAACAGAGATTCACATTGGCAGGAATATGCAGCATGTCACGCACGACAGACGTAACAAGACGAAAAAGAAAGAGAGGGAGAGTCGAACCTATTTAAAGTTTAAGTTAGCTTTTCACAGAAACAGCCAGTAGAAATGTCCTTTAGAGAAACTAAGAGAGTACATTTTACTTTTATACTTTGAGAGCTTGTACCTTTTCACTTTTCCTTGAGTACAGAAGTTGAATCAGTACTTCTACTTTTACTTTTCTTTTTTAATACAAGTATTTGTACTTCTACTGAAAGACACTAGTCTTACAGCATGCCTACTTGAAAATGATATAAAACTTTTTGGAACAGTAGGTAGAACTTGGATCCAATGTTAGAGTCAACAGCTTAGAATAATATTAAAATGACTGATATCTATGTAACAATAATAATATTTGCTTTCTGATACCTTCCTCTCCATCAGTGGATCAGCGTGCCTTTTGCCATGTCCAATCCTGCCGTGTCGGACATCAGTGTTACAGCCAAGAAGGCAATCTACCAGTCCCCCTGGCTGGGGAAGATTGAGCCTAAAGACACATGGCTCTGGGTGGATAACTTCTGTTTGCTGGTAGGCATTTTTTAAACGTAATATATTACTGTAAAGTAAATTGCATGCACATTTTGATTCCGCTGTCAAGTGTTGTAGGCAGGAAGTTTAATAAAACATTTTCAGGTGCAGCTAGGGCTTTTAATTTTCTTAGCACGTAAATAACAATTTATTATTATTATCATTTAGAATAACTTGAAGTAGGTTTCAGAGCTGTGGTGGTCTAGCTGACTGTTGTGCATTGGTTTGGTGTCTGTATTTACTATGGTGTTTCTGTTTCTAGATTTTGGGGGGAATTCCCTGGCAGGTCTATTTTCAACGGGTTCTTTCTGCCTCTTCAGCTACCTACGCCCAGGTCCTTTCCTTCATCGCTGCCTTCGGCTGCCTGGTTATGGCCGTCCCCTCTGTCCTCATAGGAGCTATAGGGGCTTCAACTGGTAAATACACACACACACACACCAGGGCTTTGCAAGAATTAAACCTATTCTGGAGACCACAGCACTTAAACCCCGTTAGTCATTTTGTACCATAATTCAAGTCTGTAATTTCAGAGCAGGTGTAAATTGATTTAAAGAGAGTTTGGTTTTTAAAGGGGAGGAAACTGAGCTCTTGCTATGTGGATTTACTCCAGTAGTTAGCAAATATAACACACCTAAAACCACAATAAATAGTTGCTGGTAGGTGGATGTAGAATGGAAATAACTTCAAACAGGTAAAACTAATATTTGTTTTAGATTTATTTATATTTATACATTTATTTTGTAGCATACTAATACTTGTTTTGAGTTCAGAAGGGAATTAACAAAAGTCAAATACTTAGTAACTATACTTAAGCAGTTTTGTCAGGTCTCTGTACTTTACTTGAGTATTTACTTTTTCTAACAATGGTTTACTTTTCCCCTCGACATTTTATACACAAATATCTGTAGTTTCTACTCCTTACAGTTTCAAAAATAGGCTCATTATTTTCGTTTTAATGCATTTTTTAATACATTTTATTTTGCATCATCGCACTCTTTCCCAATATCAAGACTGGCCAGTACAGAAGTAACATGACGAAAGAACGAAACAGACATGAAATCAACCCTAGTTTAGGTTTCAGTTAGCTTTGCACAGCAACAGCTGCTAGAAAGGTTCTTTTTACTTTTATACTTTGAATATATTTCAATACTTGTACGGCCTGTACTTTTTCACTTTTACTTCAGTAAATAAGTTGAATCAGTACTACACTACTTACTTTTTGTATTTTTTTTACGCAGGTTTCTGTACTTGAGTAAAGATTGTGTGTGCTGTGTTTGAGTTGCTTTGTAAAACAGATTTTTTATTGTGTAAAATACTATTCAAATAAATGAAATGTGGTAAATGGAAGTAAGCCAAGTATTGATTCAGTATTGATCATAAAATTACAACTGCATGTGGTTTACATCTGGATTAGATGCCTACAAATGACACAAAAACTGCAATGTCACTTTTTATTCTGTCTGGATTGCAGCTGTTGTGCACACATCAGACATTGATCCATGAATGATGTGCATACACACACACTTCCACACGCACCTACACACTGATTAAGCAGTTAATGAAACATCACAAGACAATCAAAACATCCAGGAATCTGATCCTTTATTCAAACAGGAAAGTATGATCAAAGGGAACACAATGCATTCCTGGGTTGTTTACACCCCAGCAGCCCTTTTTTTTAGATGTTTAAATGCAGCTGCATACAGTATCTGGAGGGTAAACAACATCAGAAGGATCCTGTCACGACAGGCAGAGGAGAGAGTCATCAGACCATGCCGATTTAGTGAATATTACATCTGAAGAGGAGCTAATTAATCTCGTCCATCTGAAGCTTTTTCATGTATAACTGGCGCTAATCAACCACTGCTTGTAAATATCCAAGAGAGGGAGAGTAGGCTATGTACCTCTGGAGGATGAACAGAAGGATAAATAAAGTGGCAGGAATAAAGAAGGATGTCAAAGGGTTTAAGGCAAAAGAGAAATAGAAGAACAACTGTTGTCCCACTGAATGAAAGGATGGGATGACGATAGTGTATCACCATGAGGTGTACATTTATCATCTTGACTATAAGATCTCAGCAACTATTGGATAGGTTGCCATGAAATTTGGTACACACATTGACATTCCCCTAGGGATGAATCCACTTTGATGATCCTGTAACATTTCTTGTAGTGCCATCACCAGGTCAGAATTTCAATTTGTCCAATACTTTGGTTTATGGACAAATTATCCCATCAGCCGCAGCTGTACTTTTGGTTTAAGTGCGTATTGTCTAATGTTAGCATGCCAACAAGCTAAAGTATGATGAACATGGTAAACATGCTGTACCTGCTAAACATCACTCTTGGACTCTTGTTTAAATATAACCTTTTTTAACTCTAAACTTCCAAGTATTAAGTTTCCCGCCAGAAAAAAAATACGCCTACCTCCATGCAAATGTCTGTATTTAATCAGCTTTAAATGTCTCATTAGAATCGATGGCTTTGCACACACATTAATCATTATTAATGAAGTGATTATTAATCACATTTACAATTAAAATGCAATTAAATCACATTATGTATTCTTAAATACTGGCTCATATTTCATATTGGGACCAATGGTCCAATAGGCAAAAACCAGTGTATTAACCATAGTTAATATTACATGGATGTCATATTTTCAATAAGCATCCATTATTTCTGGCCTCCTCTTACCACTGTGGACAGCACAGCATCATATTGGTAATCTCTGCTGTATTCAAGCACACAGATATGTAAAGCACTTTTGTTTCTCAGCAACTAAAACAGGTGTATCCACAGGGAGTATTATAATAAGGTCTCAAAGTCGAGCCCATTGTCTGAAAAGCTTAGGGATTAGGAGCAGTCTGTGTTTAGTTATGTTGTGTTATTGCCTCACAAAAGCTGCTGCATTGTTTTGTTCGTGTTCAGTCCAATAATTCAGGCAAATACTGTTGTTTTTTTTCATTGGCACATAGATAATCCTGATACTTGGATGCAAAGACAATCAGTTCATAAGAAGTCCAAAAATAAGCTTTGACAACAAAACATTTTTCACTGTGGTTCCCATTTGTCCTTCCAGATTGGAACCAGACTACTTATGGGTCCCTCCCACCGAAGGATAAGGATGAATCAGACATGATCCTTCCCATAGTTCTTCAGCACCTGTGCCCATCCTACATCTCCTTCTTTGGTCTCGGGGCGGTATCGGCTGCAGTCATGTCATCAGCGGACTCATCCATTCTCTCAGCCAGCTCCATGTTTGCCAGGAACATCTATCAGCTCGCCTTTCGGCAGTCGGTAAGAGTGCCAAAAATGTCAGACATCTGCATCGTTTTAATCTACGATATTAATTGTTGTTGTTATTAATTCTCTGCTGGTATGAAATACGTAGCTTGATGTCAGCCAGGCTAGCGGTATGGCTCTAGGGATGGCAATGTCGGTTGGTCAATCGGTCCAAAAAATCTCAGCACCTTTTGGATGGGTTCCTATTAAAGTTTCTACAGACACTGAAATGAGAAAAGAGAACCATGAATCTCAATTACTTTGTTGATCCCCTGACTTTTCCTCTAGCAGTACAAGCAGGTCAAAATAATGCCAAATACCTGCAGAACTAATGACGTTCTCCATCAGCAGAAAGCTGTACTTTATGTTTCTAATGTGACAATGGTGAACATTACACCTGCTAAACATCAGCAGGTTGGCATTTTCATTGTGAACAATTTAGCATGCTGACCTTAGAGTTTGGTTAAAAGCTCCGCTGTTCACAGGTACTATCATTGCTGTAGATTGTAGTCATACCTCCCCATTCTCAACGCCGTCTTCTCCACATCTAGTGTTTTCTTCTTTACTCTGTTATCTCTTTCTTCTCTCCTCCAGGCCTCAGATAATGAGATTGTTTGGGTGATGCGCCTCACAATCTTTGTATTCGGAGCTCTTGCCACTGCTATGGCGTTGTTAACAGGATCAGTGTATGGCCTGTGGTACCTGAGTTCCGACTTGGTCTACGTCATCATCTTTCCCCAACTTCTCAGTGTGTTATTCGTCAAGGGCACCAATACCTATGGCTCTGTGGCTGCCTATGTCTTTGGCCTTCTGCTGCGAATTGGTGGAGGGGAGCCCTACCTCAAACTTCCTCCCTTCATCTACTACCCCGGTTGGGTGATCCAGGAACGGGTCCACCACCTCACTGGGGATGTAGAGTGCTTTGTCCAGCAGAGGTTCCCGTTCAAGTCTGTGTCCATGGTGGCATCTTTCTTGGCAAATGTGGCCTTTTCTTACCTGACAAAGTACCTATTTGAAAGTGGTACGTTGTCACACAAGTACGACTTCCTGGATGCCGTGGTGTCCAAGCATAGCAAGGAGATCATGGACAAAACCACGCTGGTGAGCAACCAGGATAACATCATTCTTTCAGAGATGGCGCCCGTCAACCAGGCCATCGGTACGTCACTCGCTGGGACATTCACCAACACTGAGATCCTCAGTGATGATGGGGAGTCCAGTCCAGAGGCTTTTCACAAAGAAAACTAGGCACCAAAGGCACAAAGAAAACTAGAACCAAGGAATTTGAAGAAGAAGGAATAATCAAAAAGGCATCGACATTCTTCAGGAAACTTTCTACTGCCGCACCGGAAGTCAAGTCAACATAAATCTGCTGTGGCTTCCGAGTGACTCCACAAGTTTATTTTATGCTGATGAAACGGTGCCTCCTTCTTTTTTAAGATCCCTTGCCTAGAACCAGGAGGTTGACTGTTAGCCAGCTGTGTCAAACATACCATACTCATTCTTTTTTTTAATCATGACTCTGTGAATCTACAACCACTACAACCAGTTTAATTTAAGTGCTGCTACAGAGATCAGAGAGACTTCCAGGGGAAAACAATGAGATACTGCAGTGGGCATACAGTGTGTGACAACATCTACGAGGGTTTGCTGTGGGTAATGAGAAATAGTGCAATATCTAACCAACAAACTGTTTCTGTGTCTACATAGCTGTGTGTGTGTGTGTGTGTGTGGCGTGTGTGGCGTGTGTGTGTGTTTGTGTGTCTGTGTGTACACATGACGACAAAGCAGCATCAAGTTAATGCTCCAGAAACTTTTCATACTTTGCATTTAAAATTTGCGTAGAGTAAATTTATTAATAGAGCAATAATATTTTAGGATCTATGTTGTATAGATAGATATATTGTACTGAATTTGCAAGTTATTGTCATTGTTTCTAACTTGAAGACCAATAGATATTTATTCTTTGGCTTATTTTATATGTGTTCGCCTTGCACTTAATCTTTCTGTCATTCTCGCTGATTCCAGACACAGTGTCTGTTTAAGAACCCCATACCACCGTAATACAATCAAACCCTTGACTCGCCAAACAGAAGGTTGATATTGGATGATTCTACAAGGCCCCAGATTAAGTTCAGAAATAAACATTTGCAACGTTCACTGCCAATATTTACAAAATTAATTATTCCTACAATCGCCATGTTGCAATTACAATATGGTTGAGGTATAATCTGATGAATGTAAGTCTCATATTTACTCTCGTTTTAGCTCCTGAGAGAAATATCTGGCTCTTTAGCGTAAAATACTCGAAGACTAGGACTTTAGGAGTTTATTTGCAAATAAGCCTAACAAAACAGTGCAACTCTTGTATTTATGCACACGGATAAACAAGTGGTGTAATTTCCCTAAAAGTCTGCCACCCTTTCCTGTTATGTACATGCAAATAATAAATTTTTTATTAAATTTTTTCGCTATTAACATCTGCAACCTCCATGGCTGAAAAATCAAGCCAACACAGAAGTGCCAAAAATGCAGTTTCTTGAATGGCCACTTGAAGCTGGCTGCAAATGTGATAAGGCCCAATACCCAACTCTAATTTCCCAGTTCACAATCAATGGGTACAGGAGGCGCCTTTTTATATAACTCCCCCGTTTAAATTTTGTTATGGCTTAAAGTTATTCATAATTAAGGACATTTCCACTTTTAGTGACTGGTGGGTGGCGTCACAGGCGGCTGGTTTCAGAACCCTGGCTTCATTCGGCCCACCTCAACCTCACCCACACTTTTACATCTTTGCTGGCGCAGTCAGGCACTGCCAAGATGGTGACAGCCAGAGCCGACCACACTGAGCTTCCCACTGACAGAAACCTATGAGTGACGTCACAGAGACTATCTTTATACAGTCTATGGGCTGGAGAAAAGGTTGATGAGAGTAAACCAAAAGAGTAAAGTTGTCTGTAGAGCTGAAGCGACTGCAGGGTGATAGTTATCTGTCACTTGATAGTCATTAGGCATTTAATCCAATTTCTGAATAAAATATTGATTAGCTTTAAAGGAAGATAATGGTCATATTGTTTTTTGGGGGCTTTTATTTTCTTTCTTAGATAGTAGCAACTGAAGAGCGTCAGGAAAGAGGGGATGACGCAGCAAAGGGCCACAGGTTGGAATCAAACCCAGGTCGCTGCAGTAAGGACTCTGTGTACATGTACCATTTACCAGGGAACCCTGATAGTGGCCATAGTTAAACATAAATCATCATATAAGATAGATATCAAAGAAAAACATCCTATATTTCTTTAAACTCCACCCTTTTGGCACTGGGACGCTTGCACTGGACGTAAAACGTGTACTGCAGAATCATCGTGAACAGTATGAATGTATGTAACTCCATAGCAGCCTCAGCTTCCATTACACACCACCCTGATGTACACAGATTCAAATATCCAATAACTAGAGTTTGTGTTATATTTTGTATGTTTTTTTTCTGTGTACCTTCCGTGCAGCCATTGGTTTCCATTCATTTCTGAACTCTATCAAAATCAATTTGCAAAATCTTTTTGTTGTTGTCAAATGTATGATTGTGTAGAACATGTTTGAATTAATGTGCATTTACAAATACCAACAATAAAAGCACATATATCGTTCATTTTGCAAGTTCATACATAAATGGATGGAATCCAATGGCAGCCTCGAACGTAAGATATTTTGAAATATGTGTGTGCGTGTGATGGTTTGTTTGCTCAAACTAAACCTGTATTGACTGGCCAGCCACAGCAGGTTAGCGGAGACAGGAAATGATTGTTCCTTCCGGGATGGTGTCAGTAGCACCGGTCATTATCGATCCAGTCCCCAGTTGATTAGCCCTCAGGACGTTTGATTAATGCTGCAAAGAGGTTTGAAACTACAGTTCATAAGGTTTTGTTTTACAGTGTGTTATATTCAGTGATGAAAGTCGAAATGTTACTGACTGAGCACCCTCATACATACAATAAATTCCCCAGTGTCAGGCACACTGCTGCTCTGTACTGGAGAATCAAGTAAAAGAGTTGTCACCATATACAGTGATTTGTTAAGTGTTACTATTGTCCAGTTGACTGCTCTGTGTTTATCTCCTCTCAGAACTTTTGTGGTTTGTTGGTGTCTTTTTGAATCTATGGACTCTTAATGGCCTTAATTCAAAGGTCAGCCGTGGAAAATGAGTTGCAAAAAGTGACCACTTTTATGAAAATGTTTCAGTTAAAGGATGAGGCTAGTGATATTCTATATTTCATGTTTTGTCAACAATTAAGACCAAAACCAACAATGTCAAATGTCTGTCTCTCAGTATTCTCTGACTTTCATACCCATTCATTCCTACTGAAGATGTAAATCTTTAAAAAAGGGGTTGCAAATATGTTTTTTTTTTAGGCAGAGCAATTTCCTAACACAGTTGGAGTTTCGAGAAAAAGGTAACTCAAAGAGGAGTAAATGGTATATTTGTTGGGGACAATTTTCATGTGCAGATTAATATCCAATAGGTGATCTATCAAGTATTTACTAGTGCTGTAGTCAAGACCACCTTTGTCGAGTCCAAGACAATTCCAAGAGCAGGACTAGTCAAGAGATTGATGTTCTAGAACAAGCCACTTTATCAATGGTTTTATATGGCTCTAGGGATGGCGATATTTGGCCAAGAAGTCCAAGTGCAAATACTTATGAGTCCAAGACTGGACTCGAGTGATACAGTACTGGTATTTACAGCAGTGTAGACTCAGATTAAACTACAGTGCTCAGTGGCACAGACAAACAGGCTACATCTGGCCTTACACACAATACATGTTACAAATCAATTCATTGTTGATTTGGGTCTTTTCAAGGGATTTTGTGACAATAAGAAAAATGTAGTATAACACCAGCCTTATCCTTTACAGTGGAAAGGTGGCCTTAGTTAGTCTTTAGAGTGAAGGGGACTTGATCCCCGTATGCAGCCATACCTGCTGAGGTACAGCGAAGACACACTGAATCCCAACCTGATCTTGTCCTGTCTCTAAAACATTCGTCGGATTTATGATTTGCCACACAGACGACGTCGGCTTCAAACCGAATGGGGTGACTGCTGGTCTGATGCTATGCAAAGTGTCAGGCAATCTCATTGGACTTTAATGTGAATGTAAACTTTCCTCCTCATCAGATAAGCCTCATAATGAGTGTGTCATAGCTTAGGTTCATTCACAAACCTGAACGCACACAGAAAAGACTCCGAGTCAGCTTTGAACTGACACGTTTGTGGCTATATGTCGTAAATTGCAATGATGTATTTTTGTGTGATAAATGTATATACCAAAAAAAAAAGCATAGGAACAAATTAGTCTACTTTTAAATGCAGCATTGAAAATGTTTGTTGAAAGTGGAATTACAGCTATTTATTTATTCATGCAGTGTCTAAAAGAGTATAGTTGTAAACATATGTGAGGTCAGTTGAATAAATTATATGATTTAGCACAGTCACGACTTGGTTTTCTCTCTCCATGTGTACATACATGCATTATAGCCTTATACATTTGACAGATTACATTTTGTGTGTTTTTCACACACGTCAACATTCAATTATTGTTTTATTTTCAACTGCTTAAGAAGATGGTAAGATGTGTGTGTGTAATATGTGTGTGTGTGCGTGTGAGTGTGTACAGGGTGTGGACTGACTGGTGGAGGGTCTAATCTAGGGGTTGCCGCCTGCTTAAACGCATCAATCAAAAAACCCACCTCAGAATATTATAACTGCCAAAACTGTCAGTGCTGTCAATCACTCTCTTTCACACACACACCTACACACACACTTCTCAGATCCCAGCATTGCCACAACAGTCTGACCCCTAACTGATGAAAGAAAGCTTGAAATTGTGTTTTTTTTTCCTCACAGTATTAAACAGTATTGAATCCACATAGGAAATAATATTTATTTTTGCGGTTGAAAGAAAATTGTATTTTGTTGAAGTTCCTTTTTTTACTGTACAAGGTTCAAATTGGAGCCAGATCAGTGCATATGATGGATACCTGAAGCAGAAGATGTTTGTTTGAAGTTCTTTGTGTCTGAAAATGATCACTCTTTTTAAAAGAATGGAAAAAGGACACTACCGTATTGGCAAAACATCAAAACAAGAAATCAGGATAGACAAAAAGAAATAAATGTTGCATGACAAACTCTGTTACTGACCAGAGGGCCATATCTGTAATTCCAGGCATATTCCTATTAATCCATATCACAATAACAAAAGCCCATAACCCTTCACAGATA